GCCCGACATCTTAGCGCACTTGTTCTCCAGCTTTCTTTAGTAGTATGGCTAAGGGGCAACCATGTCTACTATATGGCTGATGTAGTCCACAGAGGACTGTTCTGTGTGCTCATTAAGCCTTACAAAAGGCAACCAAGCACAAATAAAGTTAACTTAAGGACTTTCCTGTCACTAGCGAATACAGGTTCGTTCTCTCCGTCAGCGGTCGTCCGATTATGGTTTTGTGGACAGTCTCAAGCGTCATATGTCTTGTAAACCCGTCCGACAAGACCAGAATTAATATGCGTGTTACGTTGTAATTACACATGTACTTCTCCGAGTTTTTCGTTGACAAATCTATGTACTGTCGGCGTGTTGGACCCGAGCGGTACTTGCGAATCCTTCCTAGTCGATTAGCCAGCCTTTGTACACTAACTTACAGCGTTCATTCATTTTTCTTGAAATTTTAGGAGGCCCGACATCTTAGCGCACTTGTTCTCCAGCTTTCTTTAGTAGTATGGCTAACTATATGGCTGATGTAGTCAACAGAGGACTGACCTGTGTGTTCATCAAGCCTCACAACGTTTTAATAGTCACAATTAAAGCTACCTTAAGAACTTTTCGGTCGGATACAAGAACGAATTTAAGATGTATCGGTCTATGGTCCTCAGTGAATAAATTGGATTGATAGTTTGTTAGAGAGACTGGTTTCACTCTGTTTATGCGTCTTTAAATACAAATGGAAATGAATTCTGTGCAATAAACGGTTTTGGCGCACAGTAGCACCTATTATAACAAAATAAGCGTCTGGGCAAGTTCTGGAACAGTGTGTTTATCGTAAGGGTGAGAATGCTTGGCTTTTCAGCCTTTAGTAAAATGCATTGCAGTATGTAATCTAGTATTAATATGACTGAAACAGTCAACGGTCCGGAATACGTTAATAAAAAGTGCAAGAGCCGCAAATTATTTGAGATGAAGTTGGCTATGGCAGAGAAAAATACCTCATAGGGGGAGTATTAGTGACATTAAATCAATTCTAGTATCTGCCATTCGGTGCTGTTGGTTAATGTGCGTTTTGGTTATGTTGTTTGCCTACTTATGTTATACAAGTAGGTAATATTTTAATATTAATAAGCTGGATGCGAAATCACAAAAGGAGATAATGGAAAATTTAAGAGGAAAAGTCTTCGTCATCCTTCGCCCTTATATCTGACACTCCTTCGTGTCGATGTTATAGGTTATAATAAAATAAGATGGGGTTATTTGGGAAGATGAACATTGCCCACAAAAACGAGGGATACTGGGGTGGCCATTTATATCTGGTTAGCCGTCATACCCAACCCCGAGGCGCCAACCTGCGACCTGTTGATCAGAAGTCCCACGCTCTAACCATTGCGTCGTCTTGCCGGTTTATATCGGGAATATTTACATTAGTTGATGAATACTCACCGATCACTAAAGACCTCACTGTCCACAGCATTATCCGCAATGTGGTCGCTGGCGAGGTTCGAGAGTGAGCCTCCAAACGGAACAGCACGAATGAGTTTCATTAGCGATCAATGCTCGTCCATTAACAAATGGTTATTTAGGAGTCCCGCAGGACTTAATAAGGGTTAGAGTACTTCCTAAAATTTCTGTCTATTATTCAGGTGTTATGGGCCATTGGACTCAACAGCACTTGATAGTAATCAGCAAGAATGCGGAGGATACTAAACAGGCGTTGGGGACTAATCGTTGACACACTTCAGCCGTTCCCGACAAAACGGCTTCCCTAGAACTTGGACAGTGCAACGACGTCTGGTAGAGTGAGGTCGACACACGGCGTATACCCCTCACTAGAAACAAGCTCCTGCACTTGAATCTAACACGCTGTACCCAAATTCGCGGCTTTGAAAGCCGCAAATTGACGGGATCACTCGGTTCTCCTCGGAGATTCAGACTGCAAAAGCTCATTGTTAACCTGTCCTTGATGGCACTCCCACTTAGTTGGACTATGAGCCATTTTCTGCTCTTTTGTGCGTGCGTCTGTGTTTGTGCGCGTGTGTGGCATGCTCAGTCGTGCTGTTTGATTCTCTCAGCCGCTGTGTCCGG